AAAAGATTCAAATGATAATGGGTTCAACAGAAACATTAATATAACATAAGAAGGGATAGAGCATATGCCAAAATCTACAAATATCATAACAGAAACTGAAAGGGTGCAATGAAAATGACGTTAGATACCTCTGAACATGTCTTGAACGAATGATTTCCTATAATGTGTAATGACACTATTGTACCGATACCTAACCTCATCCTCTATACTTGTATCTTTCTGGCTCATTTGATCCACCTGATGATAAGAAAATAGGAATAAATTCTATGGCATATGGGTAGATATCTGTTCTATATTATCACACAAAATTAAGATTCAAAAGGATAGTATAGCCTAATCTTAAAAAACAACCCCCATCCAACCCTGTCAGAATAAAATGAAAACAATGAGGGAACAGTTCATCCTTACGCATAAATCCTCAATTAGGGAAATGAAACATCATCAATCAAATGAGATAAATCCTGGAATTTCACTTGTCGATAGAGTTGGTAGTGGTGATTACCGAGCACATGCATTATTGTAACAGACATTTATAAATTTCAATAAGAGAGCTACCAGCCTTATCCATTCGTTTCTGTTGAATAATATTATTAATGTAAATATCCAATGACTTTTAAGGATCCATACAAATAACATAAAGCAGATGAGCCCGCAATTACCAGTATAGCAAACACTACCCTCCAATGCCCCAGCATACAAAAGTAATCTACAGTTAACCTGGCTAGCTCAAGCGCAGTTGAATAATGAGCATTCGCATCAACAGGTGATCCTGCTAACAACAATAATCCCCTATTGTCTTCTGTGCACGAGCAATTCTCGTTTTTTGGCCTTGATCACCTGCATTGTTATTTTATTCAAACCAAACATTAAGAAGATAATTTCTGAACAGCATACAATTGGTATACACAAGAGCAAAGTACAGATTAAATGCTTAAGATGTCTAAACATAAACCTCCTCTGAGTTAAGAGTAGCTTGAGAATCTAAAGGCGTCTTTAAAAGAGTTCCGGAAGATTCTGCTTTAAGAACCCACTTCTCAAATTCCATTAATAATGAAGCAGCGATATCTTGCATCATCGTCTGCAAGTGAAACTCTGGGTTGAACGATCCGCAGGAGGAAATAAAACCAAGTTTTCTCTTTTCTTACCACCATCCAGCTGCATCAGAAAATCAAATAATTGAACCAAGCAATTAACCAATATGTAGTTTATTAATAAACAAATAGTGAAAAACCGCGTGTTTATCGGGGACTTTGTCCTGGTATCGGGAATCATTCCTCAACCTATAGAAAAAACTAAGCATTCCCGACACACCTGAATCTGGGTAGTATAACCATTCCTTCAGCAAATAACTAAAAAATGCAATTAATAACAGTAAAAACCACAACCGATAACCAGAAATCAGCATCTGATTTAAGTAAGAATTAAAACGGAAACCATAACAGTAAAAACCACAACCGATAACCAGAAATCAGCATCTGATTTAAGTAAGAATTAAAACGGAAACCTTAATTAACGAAACTCACTTGAGAATCGCCAGGCAAAGGCGAAGCAGTGTTGAACAAGAGCAGAGGAGTAACTTTTGGAGGCGGCATTGAATGTACATCGAGATCCGGGAACGAAGGGCAATGGCAGATGCCGATCACGCAGAGTATCTTGCGATTGGGCTGGAATCCTCCCACGGCTGGCCGGGATCCTCCCAAAAGGAATTTGAACCGAGCGAGCCCTTGTCCCATGGCTGGTGGGCGAAGGGGGATTTCTGGTGCTCCGTGTAGAAGGAGCTGATGGTGGAGAGGGATCGTGTGGTGCGGCAGAAGCATGGAGTGGTAATCCCGCAGGAGAGAAGGAGGAACGTTGCCTATCGAGAACGCCGTGTAGAAGGAGCTGATGGTGGAGAGAGGGATCGTGTGGTGCGGCAGAAGCATGGAGTGGTAATCCCGCAGGAGAGAAGGAGGAACGTTGCCTATCGGAAGAACGGCGATTCGGATCATGCACGATGTCTCGATGCAAACGTCGGGTTCCATTTTCTAGTGAGATCGGACGGTGGGAGCAAGGGAACCGTAGAGATGATAGTGTGGTGATGGGCGTGTAAGATTACGAACATACGAATCGCTCGACTCGGAGAGGCCCCTGAATTGAGTGGCCGACAAGATTCAGATAGAGAAATGAGGTTGCACTATATAATTCATATACTCCATCAATTTGTTCATAAAGATCTTGACCTCCAGTGTTTTTTTTTACTATAATTTTTTTTCTTAAATCATAATCATTCTAAAAGTGAAGTGATTCGCAAAATCATAATTCAATTATGCAATTGTCATCAACTTACTAAATTCGGGTTTTCTGGGACAATACCCCAAGCGGATTAATTAGGGTATTAGGTTGGTACAATTTTTATTTTGATAAATGCGATAAATGTTACATTGTACAAAGAATTTGTCACCTCTAGGTGAGAGTTCCCTCTAATATTTTTTTTAAATGGTCTCGATTAGTGAGTCTCACATGGACTATTGTTTTATTATCATTAATATAACTCATCACCACTCTTAAAAAAACTATTTTTTAAATCATAAAATAAGAATATAATATTTAAATTATAAAATAAACTAGACATTGATTAACGGGTATATGGGCAACAATCACATAGAACTCATCACCTCACTGATTAACTAGACATTCAAGGTGACGAGTTCAGTCATGATTTTGGAAAAAAAAAGCGTTTATACCCGTTGAGACTTGAGAGTAAGGCTATAAATAGGAGTTTGGGATATTGGTTTTTCATTAAAGTCTGAATTCAAAAAAAATTAATATATATATATATGTTGTGTGAAAATATCGAAAAATGACAACCCGATAAGAAATATTGCGCCTGGATAACGTCAATGTTTCGTCGATCTAAGCCGGAAGATGAATTGAATATTCATAAGCACGTGATGACATATAGAGAGTCGCAATAGCGGATGTTGATATATCTATAGCAATTCGGTCTCTTTCCAGCCATATATGTACGTGGCTTCAAGTTGTACCCGACGTTGATTGAGGCTCTGATTGAATGTTAGCGGCCTGAGACGCACACATTTCATTTCCCGAATGGTAAAGTGATGATTACTTTGGAAGACGTCGCTTACAAACTCAGTGTTCTGATGAATGGAGCCTCTATGGCGAGGAAAAATATTTACGACCCCGCGACGTTGATTTACCAAGTTTTGGAAAAATGGCCATCATCCGACGTCATCGAGGGTGAATTACGTGGTTGGAGTCTGAATTCTAAGTGATTGTCGATTCTACTGAGGACGAGGTTATTTCTGCGTTCTGAGCATATCTTCTCCAACTGATCGGAGCTGGATAAATCTGATAATTTGGCACACACTCATATCTGCGATTTTTGGAAGACTTCTGTGTGCCGTAATACCAATTAAGGCTTGACGATTTTAGCCTTTCTGTACCGGGAGCATTGCAAAGCTACAATTGGCCAGTCGGGTCGAAAAGTCGATGTAGCAGGCTATATGATATTGCTACAGTCCTTGGCTTGGTATTAATTCCCGTTTTTTACGCCAATTACACTGGCCAGAGTCGAGTTTCCTATGGTTGCAAGGTAATTTTTTAACTTCACTTATTTAACTATTTTTTTAATTTGATTATTTTGATTATTTTTTATTTGTTTATAATATTTTTTAATTTTAAATATTTTAGATTGCATCATAAAATAGTCGAGATTATTTTGTCGGGTACCACTGCACTAGATATATGGATGAGGATCGACATCGCCAGTCGATATGTGGTATGCATTTGTTCTTTTATTATTATTATTATTATTAAGTTTTTTTAATTTTATATATACTAACTTTGATATTTAATATTTACAGATTTCTTGGCTTCCTTATGTTGATGAATAGATCAACCAGTTATTGGCATTGTGGTTTTCTGAGGGGTTCGAGTTATGGTGTGCCGTGACGTCACTATTACATTTTGTGATTGTTAAGTGACACGCTGCTGATAGTGTATGTGATAGTTTACGTCGCATCAGTCGATTCTTAAAATAAAAATTAGACCAACCTAATACCCTAATTAATTAACCGACTTCGAGTATTGGGAAAAAAACCCCAAATTCTTATCAACATATTTGAAAAATAATAAAATGTACAAGATCCAATTTCGTAAGTGTAATTTTTAAGCATCTTCACGTTATTGCTTCTTTAACTTTTTTATATTTATTTATTACCGACCACAACTCTAATTCATGAGTACTTTTTTGACATTAGGTTGACTAATTATGATAGACTAATCACTAAAAATATATCGCAAATAAGTTGCAATAAAATTTGCCTCTATCAAGTAGCACCAATTCAAATAAAGTGAAGTACTAAAATGCATGTTTAGTACAAATATAAGCACTAAAACTGGGGTGACCAAATTGCAGGAAGAGGGAAGAAAGGGGATGTAAGTGAGTATTTCGATGGTGGCTAACTTGAAATTTTATTACGCTATCAGTACATCTGTATCCATCCTATCTGAATCGGCGAGAGAAAGCCTTGGCCTGCTTACTCCATGCCATTTCGAATCTTCCATGTATGGAACTCAAGTTTATATCATTTTTTAACTTGATAAATTTTCGTACGAGTTTGAAGAGTTTTCAAATAGGACTGAGTTGTAGTTGGGGGTGCCACAAAGAGCAGGGCAAAGGGACTTGTCAGCTGATCGTCCAAACAATGAAGCACAACAATTACAACGATAAGAAAACACAACTGGTATAACATGTTTCACCATACCATGCCCAAGCCTAGTTCTACTTCAATAAATTAAAAAGAAAAGAAACCCAGAGACAACTTTGAGTATTAACGCAGACACGTTAACTAAAAGCTAGATGCAGTTACGTTATACACCATACGAAGCATCATTAGGAAAGCTTAGCTTTTTGACCTCTCCCCTTGAAAAAATAAGGGATGATCGAATATAAAAGTAGACAAATCGAAACCGAGACGGATAAGATCAAACTACAACTACTAATCGAGCCTCAATATCCTCCTCAAGTCACTTGTGGCGTCGTTATTCTTTACAGAAACCTCAGCCATCTTCGTGAAGAACGCCGGCATTGGAACGGAACTCGGAGGCGGCGAGGTTATGAAGGCAGACCCAGCATAAAACGAGACTGGCACGAACTTATAGTTGCCGTTCTTGTTGTTTGACTCGGTCAGTTGGATCTGGGTCGGGATAGCCCCGGAATCTGGCCCCAAGCGGTCACTGGAACCGAGATCTACATGAACGTTTTCCTTTTCGAACCTAATGGACTTTTGAGGATACGATTTTTTCAAATATTCTCCGCGTTTGAGGATCTTGACTTGACCCGTCACGAGATTTCTGACCGGGATCTGCTGCCGGAAGACGGAGGAAGTGGAGGGCAGATCGTCGGAGACCGATTCTTTCGGTTTTGCGGTGCCCGATTCGAACGGTTCGGGTTAGGGTAGAGATTATTGTGGTGTTTGTGTTTCATGGGATTCGGTAGCTTTAAAAATCATCTGGCTTTAGAACTGCAACACCCATGGCTGAAAACAAGAAAATTATATACTATGAACAATTATAGAGAAATAAAAGAGCTTTGAAAACGGAGATTGGGAGAGTTTTTTTTGAGACAAAACTCAAAATGAAGAAGAATATATATATATTTATCATGTAGGGAGAGAGAAGGAAATAAAGAAGGATAAAGGTGAGGAAGATGATAAGTGTTAGGAGAGGGGGGGGGAGTTCATGTATTTTGTGTGGGGATTAAATTAAATTTAAATTAATTGCCTTCATGTCGACTCTTTATTTGTCTCCCTTTTCTTCTTTTTTTATGCTTCCCAAAAAAAAGAAATTAAGCGTAAATTACGTCATTACTTACTAATTTTATTCTTCTTCAATTTTATTTATTATACTTTTAATTTTTCTAATTTACTCATTTAATTTTCGAATTGCTCTTTGTTTTCATCGTTCTAAATAATTTAATTATTATTTTTATATGATGTGATATTTTTATTATTATTTAATATAAAAATAATTTAAAATAAATATAAAAGGTGGTCGAACATCACAACCGATAATCGTCGACCGTCGTAGATGGTGATTGTTCGATCTCAAATTTCATGGGTCAGTTCGTCTCGATCCCCTAAATTCGAATCTAGTAGTTGTTTCATCAAAAAAATGTCCAAAAACCCATGAATCTCGATTGAAACATTTATGCTTCCTCATTTGATATCCAGTTCGTGGACTTCAGAGCAAGTTCTAACAAAATGGATGTCGGATTCAGATTCAATGTGAAGCGACCAATGAAATTTGGGACCGAACAACCACCATTTACAATGGTATATGATGATGGCCAACGGTGAAGTTCAACCACCTTTTATTTTTATTTATTTTTATTAAATAATAAAAAATACTATATCAAACTAAAATAATAATAAAATAATTCAGAATAATCAAAACAAAAACAATTTTAAAAGTTGAATGAATAAAGTAAAATCATTGAAAAAAAGGAGGGGAATCGGTGAGGAATGATATTTACCCATCTTTAAAAATAATGGACAAATATTAGAATAAACTATATATTAGTCATTTAATTATGAAAATCAAATAAATTTATCGAATGGTTTTATTGATAAAAATAATATTATTTTTAAAAAAAATTAAATTAAAATCGTTATGTCGACAAGATATATATATATATATATATTATAATGATATGTAAAAAGATATTTTTTGGAATATAAATCAACCTTTATTCATTAAGTATCAGTAGTAACAATCACAAAATGAAGGGAAGAGCTACATGTTTGAAATTGAAAGGACTAACAGTAAGCGAAACATAATTAGCTAATGCATGAGTCGTGATATTGCTTCACAACAAGCATTACACTCGACCGCAACCAGAAGAAACTACATCTCGGCCGCCATACGAATATCATGACACAATGCTTGGGTTTCAGTAAGGATAGCAACCAATGGGCCGACGGGCCAATATGCCCAATGTTGGTGATCCCAATTGCCTCGGACAAGCGACATCGACATTAATTTTAACGGTGCCCCGAGTGACATCACCCAACAACTACTTTGCAACAGTGAAGAGCTGACGAGGATGAAGAAAATAAGCCAAATTTCAGGATAATCGTGTAAGACATATATGGCAGTCTCCTCCGTCAATCAACGTAAACAACATCGGCCATCAGAAACTCTAGCAAAGAAAACAACTTGGGAGCGTATTGCAAATTAACCCTAAATGAAACACGGTAGGTTTTGTAATTACCAAGGAAATTAATGGGCATTTCTTGAAGAAGAAAGGACTTGGGTGATATATGAGAAGACAGAGCGACAAAAGGACAGGTGGAGATAAACCATACGTTACGTGTCAAGCGGGTAATGGGATGACGTTCAGCGGAATGCCGACAGCCGAGTTGCAGTGCATTAAGCCTGCCAATTTTGCCCAACTTGGTTATTGGGGCTACAATAGTTTTAAAGTTTTAAAGTTTAATTTTGAATATGTAAGGAGTTTAAGGATCAGTCTCGTAATTATCTCATGTGTCTGTTAGTGGAAAAATAAATTAATAAATAAAATATGAGTTTTAAGTGGCTGGCGGTTCGAACCCCTATCAAATAGAATGGTTAATCGTGCCTTAGCCAGGTTAGGACAATTTTTGAGATTTTTATTAAATATGTATTTTATATGTTATACTGGGTTATAATACCCAAAAAACCCCCAAATACCCGTGAAAATATCAATTTCCAATTTTACCCTAACCCCAACATCTGCCCTCTCCGTCAAATAAGCACCGTCCGACCACCTTTGGAGCATGCCGCCACCCTCAATTGACTCGCCGTCGATCGACGACCAAAGCCCAAGCACCACCGTAGCATGATTCGGCGTGAATCGACGTTTGAATCACCGTTAGAAACTCCCTCTCGTTGTCTCATGTTATCATGTTTTTCAGCCGCCTCGATCGTCCCCTCGCCTCACCGCCTGAACCACCGGACTTCCCTTATCCGTGCGCTCAAAACCCGACTTGTGGGTCAAGTGGTCGCTGTCGTTTCCCCGTCGTCGGCTTGGGTAAGCATTTAGACCTTATTCGTTTGTTTCTGATGGATTTTGTTGGCTTTTAGTGTTATTATTGCTTGAAATTGATGTATGGTTGATCGTGGAGTAGTCAGTCGATCACCCCGAGCCTGTTGTCGCCACCGCGTGCGCGTGGAGCTTTTCCCCAGCCTTAATCCTTCTAGAACGGTTCAACCGAACTGAACCAACCCGAACCAGTTTGAACCGATCTGATTCGTTGGCCTTAACCGACACGTTGACTTTGACTTGACCGTTGACATGTCTCTGACCGTTGACCTGACCGTTTACCGTTGATTTTGACCAAAAAAGTCAGAACATTCAAAAAGTCATAGTTTATATTTTTCGATGTCCTGAGTCCGAATCTGAATTCCGTTTTGCTAAATTCGAACCAGAAAGCCTCCAAATTAACTCGTAAACTCGAACGTGCATATGTAAATTAAGTATTTATTTTAGTGCATCAAATTTAACTGAAGGGCAATGACTAATTAATGTTATATATTTAAGGTACTCGTGGATCTCCTGACCGTTCGACTGCTTGACCCGGTTCCTCCCGATCCGCTCATATGTAAGAGCTCGTGAATACACGTACAGTTTTATAATCCTGTTAAATATTCAGTTTAGTATACTACTCCGATAATAGCTCTGTATTGTTATGAGTTAGGTTCTCGTACAGTCGAAAAACGTAGTGAAGCTGATGCTCAGTAGATATTCCAGACTGTTTTTTGCGAGGTGTGTTCCTTGTGTGCTATATATCTATTTTTAATATATGTTTGAAATACCATGTGGACATGATTGTTTTATCTGATTTGCAATGTGTCTATCAGTTTGACTTGATTTCGTATGTTTATCTGATTTAAGTTTGATTTATGATTTACAAATATTTAAGCCTGGTTATCTTATTCATGTTCTATGGTTACCGTTTTTACTGAAATAAATATGTTAAACTCTGATTTCTTGCTGCCACTGATTACTGTCTGAAAAATGTTTTTCTTCGGGTACCATGAGATTTAGTATGAAGTTTCTGCAGGTTCAGCTCGGTCAAACTGGTAATTCCTGATATAGGTTTAGACCGATCGAACTGGTAATTCCTTATGGACCTAAGGCGACTCTTGGGCCTAGTGGTAAGATCTTATGGACCCTAAGGTACACCCTTAGGGTGGCACCTCTGCTATGTGCATTGGGTAAGTCTTTATGGGCTCGAGGGCACTCCCCTCAGGTGGGCACCTACGCTTCGACTAGGGTAAGACCCTATGGACCCAAGGTGCTCCTTTATGTTGGCACCTACACCCTTTGGGCCTAGGGTAAGTCCTTATAGATACAATTATGGGGAACTGCATATGGTGTTCGGTTGGAGGGTGATTATGTATTTTAAGCTAAAACACTACCGATATTTTCATAATTTGGAACTGAACTGATTTTAGAAACTCTACCGACGTTTATGAATTGTTATGAACTGGTTTTGAAATCTAAACTATATGTTTTATTTTGCATTGTTGGAACACTGAGATCCCTAGCTCACTCTCCCAAATGTCTCTCTTTCAGATATTTTGGATAGGCATCTCGGACTGGCACTTGAGGATCACACATTAGTTGAGTGATATTTTGTTGTAATGTATTTATCTTCCAAGCTGCATTTATTTTGGTTGACATGTGTTTATATTTTGAAAATGTTGGTTTTATGATTTATACTGTCTTCGATACTGATGTTGGAATATTTTATTTAGTCCTTACGTCGACTTTTATTTTCTGGAATGAATTTTAATATTAACAAATCTATTTTTAAGATGCTTATTCGGAATATGGTTTTAAATTATTGAAAATATTTTGAATTTTTTTACTACAATTCACTAGATCTAGTCGTAACGCATAGGTCAGATCTAAAATATTACTTTTCTTTTGGAAAATGGCTAAAAATATTTATAAACCTATGATAAGCCATTTACTTGGAAGCTTTCAAATGAAGTCTCTTAATTGCCAAATTGTCGGTGGTAGGCACCTTTTTGTCTCAATATAATATATACCTCGCTCAAGCACAATTAAATCTATTCTGTATAACATAATCAAGTTGGAATCCACAATGGTTTTCAGCCCTAGTTCCCCCACCCCCCTCTATTTTGTGCCACTGCAAGTTTTAATTTTTCTTACTTTATGATGGACAACGATATTAGTTATAGTATCGATGATATTTATTATTTTTTATTTTACTATATTGTACTTTTGTTTTTCTTAATTTTAATAACTTTATCTTTATGTTACATTTTCTTTGTGACCCGCTTTCCTTCGTTTTTGTCACATTTTCGATCGTTTGATTGTTATTTTTGTTTATTATTATCTCAATGTTAGATTTGACATCGTCATGACTAATTAATATCGCTTATTTATTATCATTATAATCTTAACTGCTTTGGACCTTCAGATTGGATTTGAATCCGCGATTTGCGCTCATTGATAGTTTTCTCAAGTTGCTCGATTATGATTTGTGGTTTATTGGTTATCTTTCAATAATTGAGCTTTTTTTTTATGGTTTTTATTGATACCGTCATATTTAATAAACTAACGATTTTTATTTTGTCAAAAAACTATTTAGTATAAAGTAGTATATGTTTGTTTGATGATATGAATTCGAATAATATTATTTAAAAATGTATGTAAATTTATTAGAAATACAAATTGTAAGGTGTCAATGAAGAACCTCGAGCAGGCCGACACGACTTAATTGACAAAGGCCCAATTTGATATCTGGGCGAGTAATGCTTATTGTCATATTCTAAAATATGGATTCAGAGGTAACGTAATCAAATGATTGTCGTTTTGGAATCAAATTAATTTGTATATAGTGGGGTTCGATCAAATCATATTTGCTAGATCTGTATATGAATCGTGACGGTCCAAGATTCTTCTTTGTGTTTTGAACAACATAGGATTGGCTCAATCATTCAAGTGCAGATTGATGCACAGAATATTTGTTTGGGGCGAAGACAAACTTTGCTGGTACCTACATGAAATATTATGTTTAAACAACCATTCTAAAACAAGTTTTTTTCATTACATTTTTTTAAAATAATATATATATATATATATATATATATATAGATATATATTTGTGGATATGTTCAAAGATATTGCTTAAGTCATTGCCTAAGCTGAAGACCATTCACATGAACAATCTATTTAGGTTAAGTGGACAGGGTCTAGCAAATAAGAAATTTTGTTCAAATTTTACAAGTGAAGAAAATAGTGTTAAAAAGTTGCTTATTTTAAGAGTCCTACGCGACATAATTTTAGATATAATCGCAATTCGTGTAAATACTTCACGGAATTATGAATTCAACCTTTTATGGGACCCAACAAATTTTCAAGTCGGATGACATGTATGTGTGTCAACTACAAAACCCCCTTCCTCTTCCTTCCATTCATAGCATCACTCTCATTGAGTCATTGAGGCATTTCTACAGACACTTTTTTGTTTTTGTTTCTCAAAAGAAGCTTTCTTTATTTGCTACCATGGCCAGACCACAACAACGATATCGAGGTGTTCGACAAAGGCATTGGGGTTCTTGGGTGTCCGAAATTCGCCATCCTCTCGTGTAAGTTCAACTCTGTTTCGAAAACCATGAACGTGTTAGTCCTTCTACGAGTACTAAAGGATGTGTTTCTTTTGGTGCAGGAAAACTAGAATTTGGCTCGGACATTCGAGACAGCAGAGGACGCGGCTCGGGCCTACGACGAAGCAGCGAGGTTTATGTGTGGACCGAGGGCTAGAACCAACTTCCCTTACAACCCCAATGCACCTCAACCATCAGCATCCAAGCTTCTCTCTGCAACTTGAGAGCCAAATACACAAAATGCTACATGGCTTCACTTCAATTGATCAACAACCAACTGTGCATGAACCGCAAAAGAAGGCACCGACTCCACACGTTATCGACAACAATTGTGTTGCAGGGAGAGACAG